GAAATTACTACCATAACAGAAAGCATGTTATTCTGGAAAAAAAAAACCACAGTTATTAAGTTGTACAGTAAGAATTAACAAATGTATTTTCATCTTGAAAATTTGGTACATTGTGAATATTTCTATGGAGGCTGAAGCGATCACTCTCAAAATTGCTATATAATCAGTCTCAATACCCTTCCTCAATTTCTCCATTGAGCTTTCTTTATTTGGATATATTATTTGTGAAAAACTTCTTTATATAGTCAGAAGCTAAAGAAAAAAGATTGATTGAAATGTACAAGTTACCTGTATAAATGTTGCTGTGTCAATAGTTGCTTTTACATCAAGCAACCAGTTATATATGTAAAGAATTTCTTTCACTTACATACTTACAAGTCTTTGTACTCAAGGCAACTTGAGCTCTGTACATGAAAGAGTGCATTAGGATAATCCAGGAAAATAAGATTATACTTATATCTATACTTATACTTGCTTATGCTATACTTAGGTTATTGAGGCCATGGTTCTCAATTGTTTCCCCAAATACCGTATTTTTCGAAGTATAAGACGCACCCTTTTCCCTCAAAAAAGAGAGTGAAAATCTGGGTGTGTCTTATACACTGAATACAGCATTTTTGGCTACCGAAACCCCACCCACTTTGCAAAAATGGATGTGCAGAGGGTTTGGGAGCCTTGCAAAGTGCTTCTGAGGGCTGGGGAGGGCTGTTTTGCCCCCCCAGTCCCCGGGAGCACTCAACAAGCTTCTCAAAGTCTCTGCATGCCCCCCTTTTTCTTTTTNTGTTACTAAATTAACAACTGCAGTGATTCACTTAACAACTGTGGCAGGAGAGGTCATAAAATGGGACAAACTCATTTAACTGTTTTGCTTAGCATGGGGAATTTTGGACTCAAATGTTGGGGACTATCTGTGGTGTAATACATATCTACTTAGAAATAAATAGCAATATCATTTAGACTTATATACTGCCTCACAGTGCTTTACAGCCCTTTCTAAGTGATTTACAGAGTCAACATATTGCTCCCAGTAATCTGGGTCCTTATTTCACTGACCTCAGAAGGATGAAAGGCTGAGTCAACCTTGAGCTGCTGGGGCTCGAACTATCAAACTGCAAGCATCTGGCAGTCAGCAGAAGTAGCCTGCAGTACTGCATTCTAACCACTTTGCCACCATAGCTAATCCTATTAGAAGATTGCAACTTCCCCCTCCTCATTTTTGGTGATGATTGTAATGATGAAGCTAAGTTAATGAAGTAGTTATCTTATTTTAAAGGCTCAATTATCTATTCTTTCTCTCTAGGAGGCAGCAGTACAGTATGAACAATATGAACAAGAGATGAAACATCTGCAGCAAATGATAGAAAAATCCCACCATGAGATTCAAGAGAAGCCCATATCAACAAGTAATATCCAAGAATTGGAAGCCCAGATTTCATGCCATGAGGTATTACAACTGAGATCCAAGGATTACTTTTTTTTAAATGCTAAAAATTATTTTGCTTTGTTTTCCTATCTCATCATTTTGTCTTTTTTCCACAATAGGTAGTTGAAATTGGTAACAGCTCTTAATATAGCTGCTATAGCCTCATCTGAGACCATTTTTGGTGATCAAAGACTCCTTATTTTAGAACCCAAGAGTTATATCCTACTCACGTTTAATTGTCTTTGGGGATATTAGATATGCTCTTAGAGAAACAACTTTGTGAAACGTGTAATGTGCATAATGGATTTATTGGTCTCCATTTTTGGTGTACCATCGTCTATATTTTAATGTTGTCAGTTGTCTCTCCCTATACCACTGTTACCCTGTTTCCCTGTAAATAAGACCTCCCCAGATAATAAGCCCATCAGGCTTTTGAGTGCATGTGCTAAAATAAGCCCTCTCCCAAAAATATTGCAACACAGCAGCAGCCATGAGGTGACCATGCTCGTGCATGTGCACATGGCCTACTGTTGTGACTCAGCAGCAGTCTTCTGTGAGTCTTTTCGGAATGCAAGATTAACGATGCAGCTGGGGCTCGTTAGTGGGGTTTTGGGGATAAAAGGACGGATAGTGCCACGCCCTAGTTGCAGGAGTCAACGTTCCTTGATCCTTGATCATGGTTTCTTTGATGTACACTTG